ATGTAATGACAGTACTATCATTTAGTAAATAAAGTCTCGCATTTTATGCTTATTCACAGTAAAAAAAAAAAAAAAAACTATTCTTTATACTTGAATATTAATCTTTACTATTTTATTTTTAAATATAATTTTGAAAATAAATAATGGAATTGTTTTTTCTTATTTTTCATTTCTAAAAAGATTTGAATTTATTGCTTGCAGTTTATTACTATAGTTTTAAATTATATATTAAATTCACTATATAAATTATTATTAATATATGTTTTATTACATTTTTGCAAATATATGTAAATATATGCAATTTTAATTTATAAAATCTTAATTATTGTTTTAAAAAATCTTTTTCAGTTTTAATAATTAATAATTGTTATATTTAAAAAATCCATGTTTAAATTTATTTCAATAAAATAAAAACAGTTATATTTGTAACAATTTATAAATATTTTATTTACAATAAAAAATTAAATTAGATTTTGTATTTAAATAAATTATTAAGTACATTTAATAGGAGCCCGAATTTAATTAGAATAAATTATTATTAAGTATTATTGGCAGAAAACCATCAAACAAGGAATAATAGCCTAACAGAGATACACAAATATTTAAGAACAATCTCATCTACTAATTCTTAAAGTCTTCTATTTCTATCTTACTTAGTATTTATGTTCGAGATCTGCTTTTTTAATATTAAATTATATACATATACTGGAAAGATGAAATTCACCATTAATGTCCATGTTCGAAATGTAGTACCAACGGTAGAAACATTCCTAATAGCATGAAACCAATATGCGATTTTTCTAATTTACCGCCATGTCCTCCGTTGATTCCACCATCTTTTGCACTGCTAATAATATCTTGCATTACATGCATCGCAACATACAAGAATGTGCCCCCGGAAAAAAGTAATAACATCGCGGTCCACCATTTCATACCGGTTGGATCTAACTCGTTGTTTCTTTGCAGTAAAGTATATGTCACAAGTGCGGACAATGGAGCGGCTAATGCAAAAACCAACAAATGTTGCCGGACCTGCCTACGAGTATGTCCTTCACGTAACAAAACTGTAGACAGACCAAAAGCGGATGGTGCCTTATGTAGCATAATCGCTAAAAAAACAATCAGCTCAAGTGCTGGTTCACTTGCTGAAGCTCCTAATGCAATTCCATCTGCTGCCGCATGTATAACAAGTCCAATCGTAGCGGATGCCGGTTTTTTATGTGTAGATGAAGAACTTATCATCTCATGATCTTCATCTTCACGATCTCCTCCATTGGTAAGTGAACGAAGCTCTGTGACGCTGACAACACTAACGCGATTGTGAGAATGCCCGTGTGTTGTATCTATTTGATCGATTACAAACATCATTGCAAATCCTGTTATTAATGCAAATCCTATATAATGGTGATTTGAATTTTCTTTGTCCGAAGCCGTTGAAAATGTGTCATCCTCAAGGGTTCTTTTACTGAGAGCGTATGACGGTTTTATATCGTCACTAGTCTCGTCTCGTTTTACTTGGTTATTCCACAACCAACCACGTTTATCAAAGACATCATTTACAACCTCTACATTCTTACTCTGCGAAATTCCGTTTAAATTAACCTCGGTAGACGAAGCTTGAACGCTATATAGTGTTTCAATACCTTCAGGAATTATAACTATCAGTGCTGCACCAACCAGAAGCCCAATTCCAAAAGCCGAAACCGTTCGTAGTCTATCTTCGGATAAGTGAAAAGCTAAAGGAATGCTTCCTGCTAAAAAAGAACCAATAAACATAGTAATTGAAAGGAGAAATAACCATATAAATGCATCCATTGTAATTGGAATATCGATTATGAAGAAGTTTTTTTAAAAAATGTACCTCTCATTTTTCTAATAAACTGTATAAATTGCATAAATTGCATAGCCATCAACACGTGACATATAACTATTTTAATAATTTTATTAACCTTTTAAAAAAACCTAGTAACACCACCCTAAATTACGTATCCCATAAATTCCCGATCTATATTTTGTTCAAAAATTTTTATCTTAAGCTCTTTACAATGTCATATATAAACTTGCAGAGTCGCAATTCTTGATCGAAATTTGTTAGAGTAATTGCGCTAGCGAAGTTTTATATAAATTTCATTTGCATGATTAGAGTATAAAAACTTACTTCTTATTATATGTGGTATTGTTACGATAGGTCATGTACATAAAATAATTATTATTTACTTATTTAATTAAAAAATAATTATTGATGTATTTCTATTATAAAATTTAAACATAAATTATTATCATAAATTTAATAAATTTAATAATTTTTATTTTAAATAAATATAAATAAATAAATACAGTCTGGTTCAAAAAAACTGGAATAAATTATATTTCTAATTTTATTTATAATTTAATAATTAATAAATCAAATATTATAAAAATATATATATATATATTGGAAAATATAAAAAATAGGTTTACATAATAAATTTTTTTAAATATTATCAAATATTTTTTAAAAAAATCAATTAATTTAAATTCATTAGAAAAAATTATTAGTAAAAAATTATTAAAATTATCTTAATAGATAAATTTGTTAAATAATATACAGTTTGTCTAAAAAGTTTATAAACAAAATTTCAATTTATATTTTTATTTACAATTTACTAAATAATTAATAAAATAAAATAAAAATTTAAATATACTGTATATTAATAAGAATATAAAAAAATTTTTTACTTAATAGGTTTTTATTAATATATTATTAAAATTTATTAAAATTTATTGTTATATCAAAATAAAAAATTTTAAAATATAGGATTTAATTAAATTACAATAAATAAATTATTTATAATAATTTTAATTTATCAATTTATAAAATAAAAATAAAAATAATTAAAAAATAACTTTTATTAAATTTTAAGTTGCTTATCTAATTTTTTAATTAAAGAAATTTGTCAAAATATATATTAAAGTCAAACTTTATATTTTTTTAAAAATTTATTTATACATTATAAAAAACTTTTTTATTAATTAAATAATTTTTTTAAAAAAATTTTATATAGTAAAAATTATTTTTCTGTTCATAATTTATATATAAATTTATATGTATATAAAAACTTATATAAAAATTTTAAAATCAAATTTTAAAATAAATTATTTAATAAAATATTAAAAAAAACTTATTATTTTATTTTTTACATTCTAAAAAATATATTTTTAAAATTTTATAACAAACAAACAAATAAATAAATATTTATTTTTTTAGACAAACTGCATATTAGATTTATTATTATTTATTTAATTTCAAATTATTATTAAAAAATTTAAATAAATAAAAAAAATCAAATAAACTTATTGTTTTTTTTTAATTTTTATATATTATATATATATTATTGTTTTTTTATATGTATATTAAAATAATTAAATAAAATTATTTAAAATATAATTAAAATCAAATTAAAATTTGTTAAATAAATAATAAAAAATTTTAAATATATAAAATTACAAGTTTTTTTTGAAATATTTATTGACTATTTATTTATTTTATTTTATTTTTATTTTATTTTTTTTAAAACAATTTTAAAAATTAAAATTAAATTAAATTAATTATCACCTTTTTTATTTGTTTTATTTATTAATCATTAATGTATTTATGATATTTGATTTTTAATATATTTTTTTGAAAACGATTTTCTTTAAAAAAATTACTTTTACTATTTTTATAATTTTCTAAATTAATATTATTAAAAAAATTTTTAATAAATACAATTGATTTTCTCTTAGCACATCTTTTGAAACTTTTTGTAAATAAAAAACCCGCATATAAAAAAGAATCTATATTTAAAAAAAATATTTGTTAAAAGTTATATATAACAGAAATTATGCTTGATTCTATAATTGAAAAAAAAAAAAAACATAATATTTGTATTTGAGAAATGTATATTTGAAAAAATTTCACTGTAATATGTTGTGTTTGAAATTTTATGATCTTCTTATTAATGATAACTTTTATTATACAGTATATTAAATATAATATGTGTTTACATCTATATTCATGAATATAATACAATAATTGATTGGATTTATTATTATAATATACTTATTAATTAGAATAATACAATGTAATCACGCGATCGAAATTCCACTCCTTGATCTACAAGTGG